AATCTGACAAAGAAAGATTAATCTAACTATCACTTATATTTTACATACCATATCATGTCTGCTATTACAACCAAGTTCGTTGAAGAGCACAAACTCACTAAAGAGATGGGCCTCGAAAAACTTAGCCAATACGCACCAGAAATACTTGACCTCTTAACAAATGATAAAGAGAAAAGGCGCCAAGCCCGTAATCGTCTTATAAAAGGGTATAACTTTAGCAAAGAGCGGGAATTTGCATTAATTCTGCTCCAGAGAGTTGGGAGATACAAAAGTCAAGTGCCCCTCAAAGAAGGTGGGGCAGAAGCTGAGGAAGTGAATATATGTCAAGTATCTGATAGTACTTGTTCCAGGGAGACTATTAAAGAAACGGCTCAGCGTATTATGAAAGATAAACTTAGTGAAAAAGATATAAAAGCGATATCTAGAAACTTAGTTAAAACTGCCTCTGATCCCGTTGTTGCCTTATCCTGTCTCTCTAGGCTTTGAAGAGAATTGCGAGCTATCAATGCTTCAGAAAAAATAATTTCTGCTACATTAAATTCAGAGATAACCAGATTATCCAACAAAGTCCAAAAAGAGTGTAGCGAGCAACGCGAAAATGAAGGAATCGATTTTTCGGACCACTTCTCGTTAGAATCAGTTAAGGAGAGACTGGATTTGTATAATGTATCTAATATACCTGATAAACAAGCCCTAGCTGATATAATGATCATGCTCTGTATTCGCCCTTCAGAAATTAAAAGCCTGCGCATATCTAATAGCAGTATAACAGGTTATACAAAAAACCGAGGTTAACAGGACATCCCTCGAGTATTTAGATCACTGGAAAAGAATGAAGATCGGGCAAGACAATTGCTTACATGGATTCAGGAAGCAATCATTTCTGGGAAGTTAAGGGATCCAGGAAAGCTTGGATCTACATACTTAAGTACGTTTCTGAAAAAAGATGAGTTTCTTCCAGAAAGCGGTAAGCCATTACTTCCTAGCTCTTTATGCAAATTAGGGCAATATTTGCTTCTGTAGCACATGGGCCTAAAAATGCGTCGAAAGCTAACACTTATGCTAGTGAAGCCTTTCGGCATTCACCTGATAACCATGCTTCTCCATCTAAGAGATACACTATAGTTAATATGTGGAGAAGAGGAGAACCATATAATCAGGCAAAGGCATTCGAGCTTTTCGATGAAAACTAACAATAAATTTTCTTGGAAGGTGAGTTAGATATCGTTTATTAAATTTATTTTTTTGTTCACCTAAGATATATCATACTATGAAATATCATGAAAATGACAACTGATCAAAAGCATTCATCAGATGGTACACTTAACATGCCAGAAGATACCAGATGTATAGAAAAAATTGCTAAGTTATTTGGATTAGACGAGCAGAATATAGAACTATATAAAGCACTTTTTGGACAGATTTGAGAGCTCAAAAAAAAATTGGAAGATTATTATTCCAAATATGAAAAGCTTAAAAGGAGGGTCAATTTATTGGAAGCTGAAATAGAAGATTTGGATGAATGTGTAAATAAAGAAACTTTAGTCGACTTAATACAAGAAATGGTTCCATCGCTAATTATTAGAAAATATAAGAAGAGAGGTTTACTTTGTGAGCCCCTAAATAGATCTGACTCTAGTTTATCCGACTCTAGTTCATCTGAAGATTCTGAAACGGTTAAATGCTACTATCCTAAAAAGAAGGTACCACAAAGAAATCAGGTAAATACAGATTCTAAATCTGCAAAGTTTAGAAAAATATATAATGAGTTAATATCTTTATTAAATAAATAAATATACGGTTCCTTGGAGGACCACATAAATAAACCATTGTCACATTATCCTATAAAGAAATTTAGAAGGAGGAAGTCTGGAAGACCAGGCACAATTGTTAAAATCTCACCCAATCAATGCTAGTCCGGAGTAGAGATTATCAGCATTACGTTGTTCTAAAGAATTTTTTCTGATTGAAATATCTTCTAACTATATAGAGTTAATTTACTAGACCAACTTCTCCCAGAATTAATACCATTTATTATAAAGGATCTTTCAAACCAGGATCTAAAAAATTCTTATAGTATAAATCATATATGGGAAAGAAATGTGAATTTTAAACGGTCTAAAAGAATAATTCTTATAGATATTCGATTTGGGGTTGATATGGGTGCTAATGCAAATTACATTAGTAGAAAAAATGTGAAAATAGCATATGCAAAAGATAATAGTATTCCAAGAGTAAACAGGTTTCTAGGTGAGTCTTATTCTGCATTAGGAAAGGTCAATCTACATATTATCTTAAATGATGGTGAGAAGCATAAAATCATACCCACTGAATTCATAGTTATTGGATCAGGTTGGCCTAATCAATTTCCTGAAATACTCTTGGGCTCATTGTGGATGTGTAAGCTTGAATATGTGTAATTTGACGCTAATAATAGACAATAGTTTTGTGATCTCACTGTCAAACTAGTTTGACAGGTCAAATCCTTGAAGCCAGGCTTTTGGAAAAAAATAACACTGGTGAAATTCTAAAAGAATAAAAGTCTTAGTTAATAAAATCCATGTGTTTGAAATATAATATTCAAGATATTTTTGAGGAATGAGAAAAAAATAGTTATACCCGATACATGTTATCTGAATATGGCTTAAACTATATTAGTAATTTAAAACCACCAGAAGCTTGGCTACGATTTGCAAAGTATTATCCACCTGAATATATACGTAGACATTTATTTATACCAGGGCATGAAATAAAAAGTAAGAACTATTGGAGAAACTTTGTATTCCGTATTAAAAATAATTTAACCAGAAGAGAATATATAGCCAATAACTCTGAATTTAGAGATTTTAAAACCCAAGTAGCAGATTTTAAAACTTTGTATATAAAAACTCGACCGGCTATTATCATCCAGCGAGCATATCGTTTATGGAAAAAACGAATAAATTTGGCTAAAATAATTCAGCGTGCAGTGAGGAAATGGCTTTATCAACCAGGTGGCACATTAATGAAACATGCTCAAGAACGATATTATCAAAATGCCAATAAACTTGAAAATTTGAGAAGCTGTTCACCATTTTTCTAATGCTATTCTTGAGATCACAATCAAGTGATATATTTTTATATTGATATTTTTTTCTCATAAATTCAAAAGAAAACCTAACAGAATATACTAATATTACACAGATCGTTAGATCAAGGTGGTAATAATTTTCTTGATCTTATTCTGCCTAAATTAATATAGTATATTCTAAAGTATCTTCCCAAATAGGATCTAGCGATCCTCTCATACTAATTAATTTGTGAATAAATGGATTGCCAAATCCGAAATGAGATTTCATAAAATCTGCAAATTAGGTTTGTTAGTCGTAAAGAATAAACTATAAAAATAAGCAAAGTATAAGAGATTTCATTATGTAAAACTTATCTGGTTATAAGTCTACTACTTCTACTTCTGCACCATCTACTCCCATTAATAACATTAAAAATCTTGCATATAGTATTTTAAAAACTCTAAAGGATAATATTGTTAAGGGTAAAAAAATTCCAAATCTAAGTAATTGTTCAGAATGTGGCAAAGAAATTATTTCGTATCCTCTTAAGGCATTTACAACACTATCTTGTGAACATGTGTTTCATAGACTTTGTATTGAAAAAAAACTTTTACTTACAATTCCAAATACGTGTCCATTTTCTGGTTGTAGTGAGGAGGTTGAAATTATTGAAACAGGGCATAGAAGGGGTTCTGAATCAAGTACATCATCAGTAGTTAGAAAAATAGAAAAACATAGTATCCAATCTCAAGATTTGCCAGAAATTATAGAAGAAGATATGTCAGATATAGATGATAATAGAGATGGTGAAGATAATCGTCCAATAGACCAAAGCACTATCCTTTCAGAAAAAGAATCCCGCAAAAGACCTAGCGAAGATACCACTAAAAATAAATCATTAAGTAAAAAACCAAAACAGAATAAAGAAAAAGGTGATAAAAAAGATTCTAATACTGTAAAAAAACTTATTATAGAATTAACATCCAACACCTTTGAACAAAACACAGATACGATAACTTCTTACCCAGTAACAGCTACTGAAACCGGCCCACTGCCTATCGACTTTCTAAATTTATATACTAAAATTACCTCTGCTAAAAGTGAAATCCAAAAACCAAACCAGAATATAATTATCCAATATTATAACTTTGGATTAGGTATAGCAAAACGCTTCAAGTTCTATTATGAAAAATCATATAATGTAAATGACGCTAATAGTGAAGTTAAAAAAGAAATCAAAAAACAACTTCCTGATGGTACTTCTGAAACTACTATTTGGAAAAGAAAAGAAAGAGCCCAAAAGATTTTCCACCTCTTTAGTAAGATAGGAATGGATAAAATAGGATGAGTGAAGTCTTTTTCTGCAATGACAATTACTAAATTAACCGTATATCAAATTAACCATGTAATATCTCAAATTCCAGATAGCACCCCAACAGAATCAATCGTATAAGTCACGTAGACGTGATCTCGAAGGTCACACTCATGTGACTACTACACCATATATTAAATTTAATGTAATAATTTTCAGTCCATGTACGTAAAGTTTTGCTTCTATATAAAAAATAAAATTAGTTATATGGTACAAAAATGTTTATATTTGGTATATAAAAAAATTCTCTATGTATAAATAACCCCGGCTTATGCAAAAATTATTTGTGGGTGAGAGCGCAATTGCTACATATTATTGACTACGTTATATTTTTTCTGTTAACGTATAACAATGAAAAAATATCTGAATAACATACTCATATGTAAAGATAAACAAAATTATATCGAGAAGTGGTATATCTATAGAGAGTGAAAGCGCGGGTGTAAGGTTTGTGACGAATGCAATCATCATTCACACCTGTATTGCAAAACATGCAAAAAGGTAGCAGATGGAATATATAAGCGATATGAATGTGAAAATTCTCGAATGATTAACGTGTTAGAATAAATTCCGCATATAAAATTTATCTGTATCACCTTCGTTATGCATAACTTATTTGTGAGATGGGGCACAATGGGGTGTTTGGTCGGCTGATTAAATCAAACATATTTGTAGACCCTTAGTAGATTTGTATAGTGAATTTTTTAAATAATACGATTGGCTAATTTTGATAATCACTTACATAATAATAGCGTAA